TGTGTGTGTGTGTGTGTGTGTGTGTGTGTGTGTGTGTGTGTGTGTGTTTATGTGCACCCTGCTTGGAGTCTTGGAGCTGCTTTGGTTATAGGGTTTTATCAAGCTTGGAACATTTTGGGTTTTTATTGCTGAAAATTTTTTCCTGTGTCTCTTTCTCCTCTCCTGATTAGAGTCCAGCGTGCATGTATTGTACTACTTCATATTGTCTCAGAGAGAATTGAATTATTTTTTAAGTCTTTTTTTTCCTCTCACTGCTTCAAATTGGATATATTTTATTGCTGTGACTTCCGGTTGACCATTGGTTCTTCTGAAGGGTCTGATTTGCCACAAATCCAATTCAGCACAATGTTTCCTTTCATATACTGTATTTTTCATCTCTATAAGGTTCACTTAGGCCTTTTCCTTTTTTTTTTAAGCACTTTTCCTCATGTTCGTGTTTTCCTTTACATTCTTGAGTATCTGGAATATATTTACAATACGTTATCTACTAGTTACAACGTGTGTCATTTTGAGGTTTTTTTTTTCATCTGGTTATGGGGGACAATTTTATATTACTTTGAATGACTGGTAATTTTTTCTTAGATGCCAGAAATTGTGAAGTTTACATTGTTGATTTCTGGATCTTGGTGTGTGAGGTTATTTGGGTTGAGTTTGATCCTTTTGAGTTTTGCTAGGGCAAACTGAGAAGAGCCTGTAGCCGTGGGCTGTATGGTAAGATGCCTAGCATATGACAATCTCTCCCCTCCGACCAGGAGGAATGCCCACTATTCTTATTCCTGACTGAGCTCTGGGAATGCTGTATCTTCGAACTTTCCACTGGTACTTTACCTAGCCTCACAGGGCCTCTTTAGTCTCCTCTCTGCTGCCTCAACTCAGCAAGATTGAGAGGCTCTGCTGGGTGTCCCCTTCTCTGAGCCTTAGTCTGGAAAATGCTAGAGTTATTGTAGGGCTGGACTCATTCATCTCTGCTCTGTCAGTGGTGATGGTCCTGTGCTGCCCATTCTCCAATGTATAAACACAGTTGTTTCGTGTATATCGTTCCATTTGTGTTTGTAGAGGAGGGCAGGTAGTCTTTTACGAGTAGACCAAGCAGAAGTCCCCAAGGCCTTGGACTTTCAAATAACTGTTTCAATTTTATCGCCCTTAATTCACAACCATTAAAAATTTGAAAAACCAGGGGCACCTGGGTGGCGCAGTCGGTTAAGCGTCCGACTTCAGCCAGGTCACGATCTCGCGGTCCGTGAGTTCGAGCCCCGCGTCGGGCTCTGGGCTGATGGCTCGGAGCCTGGAGCCTGTTTCCGATTCTGTGTCTCCCTCTCTCTCTGCCCCTCCCCCGTTCATGCTCTGTCTCTCTCTGTCCCAAAAATAAATTTAAAAAACGTTGAAAAAAAAAATTAAAAAAAAAATTTGAAAAACCAGTGGGTTAAAAAAAAAAAAATCTAAAAAAAGAAAAAGTTAACAGTACTCCAAACCATCCATTCTTAAGAAGTGTTCAAATAACCAAACTTTAAAAACTAGAGGCCCTCACACATATTTAAGCAATACACTAGTTTTCCTTAAATGTGTCTTTTATATTAAGTTGGATTTACAGTTCTCAGGTATCCTTTATTCATTGAATCTGAGTGAGCTATCAAATATTTAATTTTTTAGAATTTTTCATTTAGCTTTTAAGGTAAGCAGAGTTTATTGTGGAACCATTTTTTTTAAATGCTTTTGAAGAGTTTTCCTGTGTTAAGTTTTGCAAAAGTCAAATCAGAAAAACTTTCTTAGTTAATATTTTGACAGATCCAACTTGTGCCATAATTGATCTTTCTATTACAAAAAGAAAACAAAACAGTGTCTGTATAATAGTTGAAAAAAAAACTCAAACTAATTTTTGCTTGGTTGTCATTTTGATAATTATCTTGTCGGTTACCATCGTATACAATTTCTCCCACCATTTCAGCTTGAATTGTCTATTTCTTGACTAGTTTATAATAACTCTGCTTAGAAAATGAAATATGAAGGGTACCTGGGCGGCTCTGTCAGTTAAGTATCTAACTTGATTTTGGCTCAGATCATGATCTCACAGTTGATGAGTTCGAGCCCCACAATGGGGGTCTGTGCTGAGAGTGTAGAGCCTGCCTAGGATTCTCTCTCACCCTCTCTGTCTGTCCCTTCCCTGCTCACATGCTCACTCTCCCAAACTAAATAAATACTAAAAAAAAAAAAAAAAAAAAAGAAAAGAAAAGAAAAAGGAATATGAGGTCTGTCTAGTAAGTGGCTATTTGAATTAGTCTTGTCAAAAACTTGATAGGATTGCTGTTTTTTTTCCAACCTAAATGCATTTGAGAGTAACAACTCATCCAGCACAATGTGTGCCCTGTCGTGTAAGAATATGGTCAGCTAGGATGTGATCCATTTCCTAAAACTTCATAAGCCACTGTAAAATTGATCAATTGGGGAGAAAAAAAGCAGGGTTTCCCTCAATAGGATGAAATCTTTTCAAGCTAAATTCTCTGAGAATCCCCCTGTGTGATTACTACATCTACAGTGTATATGCCTTTTCTGTTGATTTATTTTCACTTTATTTACCTGATCGTTTTAAAACAACGTATAACTTCTTCAGTACTTGGAAAACTTACCTGAAGGAGTCTCGGTAATATTGGTGGAACAGCATGCAGTCATCTAAATTTACTTCTGCTCTTTAGCACAAAAGGAGTTAATAGCAAAATGGAGCTCATCTACTTACTATGAGGAGGTTTGTCCTGCCTGACAAGGTGCTAACTAGTTAACAGCCCACCAATTCAGGAAGCAGTAGTGAAGGGATATATATAGTAAATAAAATTACATCTAGTTAGACTCACGTATATTAGTATTTCATAGTAAGTTAATATTTTAAGCTTATGTGTACCTAATGATTTGTATCATGGTGGGGGGGCGGTTATTAATCTATCAGTGCTTTTTGGTCATCTTTGGAACCAGTGTGGAAGGATTATTTTAACTGTGAAAGAGCAGATTATTTTTGTGGAATATTTTCTTTTCATAAAATAATGCATCCTCTGGTGTTACACATAAACTTTTTTCCCAAAGAAATGAAGCTTTAGTTAACCTTGAAGCAATTAATAGTCCACCAGCTCATTTGGGGCCTTTGGGGTCAAGTGAAATATTTGTAACTGTACCAAATCTGTATTTTCAGAAACCAGTGTCCTGGAAATGACCTGGTTGTCCAGATTGACATGCTAAACCCAGTGACAGTTGAAGACAAATTCATTACTTGACAAACTTAGGACTATAACATTTCTGGTCCTGTGTGGCCTTCCATATAGCTGAGATCATGTTTGTTCTGTCTTCTACATGACTTCCCATCAGATGGCTGAAGATTGCTATCATATACCTACCAAGAAGGAAGACCTCGGTTCTGCATTAGGGAATAGGAGGAAGCGTTTCATGGATAAGATCATGCTTCCACTTTGATAAAGATTAGTAGATACTACCACAGAGACTCCAAGGGAATTCCAAAGAAAGAAGTTGGAAATAGGCTCAGCATTAAGGAAATTGTAGGTAGCTTGATATAGGAAGAAGGGAAGAGAAGTCTCAAGAAGTAAGGTGGAGACGTCTATGGCATGTAAATGATCTTCTGTTTCATTTTGAGGAGATTAGACTTGATCCCGTAGACGTTCTCAGCCAGGGTTTCCTGGGAGAATTAAGCCATAATGCCTGCCAGCGGGCACTGTTGCTGGTGGATTCACTTCCTCCTGTGCTTCAGCAATGGTAGATTTGTGTGCCATTAAAGAGAACATGGAGAAAATAATCAGATCATTTTTTATGTTCTATGGTTCAGATGATAAAACCTGCTTGGGAAAGGTAGAAATTTGATAAACTTATTTTTTAAATGAAGATTTTTATGTAAGAGAATAAGGAAGTGAGATCTTCATTTTAGAACAGTTGTTGCAGAGTAGAGGAGTATGGATCCAAAGTCAGGAAGGCCAGGGAAGCAATAATGAGCTGTAAAAGAAAATAAAGGCTGAACAGGAATAGCCATGATAAGATGAAGGAGGAAAGACGAACAGGAGCTAGAGAAATGGTTACGGAGGTTTAAGGTCTCAAGCCTTAAGGGATATTCAGTGCTACCCTCGCATCGTACTGCTTTCCCTAATCAATTCCTTCTCTTCCCAGAGCGGTTCTCAGCCAACCCTCCCTCATCCTCACCTGATTGGATCTTTCCCTTTCTCAAACATTTCCTCAACTTGACTCCCCTTCCTATACTTTCCTACTCTTCTACTGAATTCACTGGTCTCCCCTTGGCAATTTTCATGCCGGAACTTTTTTTTTCCCCCCTCAGCCTCTGCTGGCTTTATTGGCTTGCCCCAAAGCCCAGTCCTTGAACCTCTTTTCTGTTTTTACACTTCTTCAAGTATTCTCATCCACTTTCTTAGCATCATATACAAGTTAAACACAGTTATTCACTGTGTGTGTGTGTGTGTGTGTGTGTGTGTGTGTGTGTGTGTGTATCTCCAACCTCTTCACTGGACTCTACATTTGGTTGTTCGGGTGCCTGTACTACACTGCCAACTGATTCTCTGCTAAGCAAATCAAAGGGAGCTTGTCTAGAGACAGGCTCTTTGTCTCCCTCCTGTATAAATTTGTTCCTGTTGATCCCCATCTTAATAAATGGCAATACCTTTTACTGAGCTCCTCAGGCTACAAGGCAAGTTACCCTTGACTCTGTCTCATTCCACATCTAGTTTGTCAGCAAATTCTGTTGACTCTGTATTGAGTACAGATTCTGGAAACGAACCACTTTCAGCCACCTTCTTCACTACTTACCTTAGTTTAAATATTCCTGATCTCTTTCCTAGATGACTACAGTTACTTCTTAACTCAGAATTCTGTCCTCTTTCCTGACCCAGGTAGCTTGTTAAATCCATATCCACCAAGGTTGAGACTTTTAAACCAAAAGTCAGATTATGTACTCTTCTGCTTAAAACCTCTCCTACTCATTACGCATAGAATAAAACTCCTGTTTCTTACCAGGTCCTACACGGCCTTATGTGATCTATCTACTAGCTTCCTTTGTGACCTCATTTCTGTCAGCCTTCTATTCACATAGTCTGTTGTCACCAACCTGGCCTCTCTGTAGTTCCTCAGACATGCTCCCTAAGTCCCCCTCAGGATCTATAGAAGACTCTTTTGTTAGAGGCACTGTCTGGTCTCTGTTCAAAATAGTCTGAGTGAGGCCTTCTCTGATCATTCTGTCTTAAATAGGCCTTCTTCTGCCCCCAGGAGCTAATTATATGCTCGTTCTGCTTGTTTTCATCCTAGTATTTACTTAGAATTAAGTTAAACATCCACTTCTATTTTCATAGTTTGTCTTCCCTCAGAATATAGGTTCACAAGACTTTGTTTTACCCACATCTCCTAGGTATTCAATAGGTATTTGTTATTGAAATGATTATGATCTCAGGTTTTTACTCACTTTTGAGTTTGAGATACATAGGGAATACTGGAGACAGAGATACAGATGTAATCTCTGGAGGGGGTTTTGACTTTGCAATCTGGTTTTGGAAGTGCTTAGGATATGTGATGGTAGGTAGTTAAGATCATCCCCTGAGGTCAGGTAGTAGGAGAGGAGACCTCCTGAGACAGAGCTCTGAGAACCCATGCATTTCGGTTGCCAGAGGAAGAACATTTGAATACTGACCCACCATCCTGTTTACTTACCTCTCTAAGACTTTTTAAGGAGGTAGGGCACACTTAGCATTTTTTTTTTTTTTGAGATAAACCAAAAGTGGGTGGTAGATTGAACAGAATGAATAGGTAATGGCTCATGAGTGTCTAGCATGCCAGGCCTAAGTCATTGAACTAAAGTTTAACAAGGACAAATGTCAATTTCTGTAGTCGAAACAATCTTTCGGACAATAGGTATGTTGTTATAGTTATCCCAGGTTTAAAAACAAAAGCCTTGGGGATTTTCTTTGACAGAGCAAACTGTGATTAGGATCCTGAAATAGCAAGTGCAGGTTTAGACTAACGTAATAGACACGTTGTCTTCATCTTGGGCAGTGGACATTCTTTGGCCTATGAAGTAGGGAGATCACATCTGGGTACCACATTTTTTAAAAAGACTTAATCTAGAATCTAGACTGTAGATTAGATCCAAGATGTTAGACGATGTGGAAATTGTAATTAATATGTGAGTAATAGCTGAAACTTGTGTTTCTCTTGGAGAAGAAACAGTGAGAGGATGTATGATGGCTATTGCCAGACCAAATACGTGAAGATAGATTTTTTTTCCTTCTAAGGGGTAGAAATAAGATGAAGGGGGATTAAAGCAAGATCTTATTAACTGTGGGAAAGAGAATGTTAGGATGGACCTGAAATCTGGGAAACAGTTGGTGAGAACAAAGAAATTGGTTCAGGAAGTCGCAGTAAAAGCGATCAGTTAGAAATGAAAGACAGAAAACCGTAAAGACTCCTCCATCCTGTGTAGGCTGAAGTGGCAGGCGTCTTTTCTCTGAATGGGAATCTCACCGCCGAAGAGCAGGGCAGAACTAGAGGCCCCTGGAGGGTAAGGTACTAGGCTTGGGGCCCAAGCAGGGAGTGGTGCATCAGAAGCAATTAGGAACTCAGTTACTGGAACTGTAGGAAAGGATCGGACCTGAACCCATAGGAGAATTGACTTGAAACTGACCAGCTAGCCGAACTAGCATCAGGATTCGTTGCAGGGAAGGAGTGTATGTGCTGAAGGGGGCGTCAGAGGAATACTGGAGTAGTGACGAAGGCAGATTTTAAAGAGCTAGGTTTTGACTACACATCAGATTTTACTAGCAGCCTGACTGCCCAGTGGGAGAATGACCTTCCTCTGGAAATTGCACGTCACTAGAGATACCCAAGCAGAAGCTAGAGGGATGCCCTCACTTACAGTACTAGAAGGAATTTCTGCTCTGACTTGGTGGGTATAATTCATGAGTTTCCTATTCCCAGAACTTGTGTTTCAGTAAGTTGTAACGTATGCATTGTTGGATTTGCTTGTGTTTTGAAAGTTGGGGAAAAGATAATGTGTCTTTTATTATATTTTAGGTGGCTGAATATACTGTCCTAGAAGGAAAACTTCAAAAAACCCTAATTGACTTAGAGAAACGAGAGCAGCAGCTGATCATTGCAGAGTCAGAGGTAACTGTGTGTCTTTATTTCCTGGAATCCATGCATGCGGTACATGCTATTCTAAAATATATTTCATAAAAAGCCTTTCATGGAAATTGTCTTATAGGCATGGTGGAGAAAACTGCTGTTCAGCAGAGGAAAGCATCTTTGACATGTCAGAATGTGAGGAATACATAGCAAAGTGTTTGTTATTTGAAATGGTTAATAGCCGGCCAGCCAGCTTTGGCTGACTGCTGCACTCTGCGGAAGTACACTTCTTCCCCGGGACGTGGAGGGACTGGATAGTCACACTGCCCAGAGCATAGAGAAAACGTAGCACAGGCCGAGGGGCCTAGAATTCGGATGTCATTCTCAGTAACAAGGGAATATCCCACCTGGTTGTCGATCAAAGGTTAGAGCCCAAAGACGGATGAAAACTTCTGTTAATACTATGCCTAGTTAGCATTTTTGTTAGGTCTTGATAAATTTTAGCCTAAATATGTATTTCAATTACTACATAAATCATTTCAAAGTATTAGAATTTCTTCCACATTAAATTTGTATGTTCCTGTCCTAACCAAATGAGTTTCTTAAAATTTTTCTCAGCATTTCACTCTGACCTGATCCTCCTACGTTTTCTGGAATTTCTCAGTTGATGTTTGACCTTAAATGTATTTGTTTCCAATATGAAGGGTCTGTTACTTTCTATGTGATTAGGCAGAATAGAAGAAATTCCTAAAGAAGAAAAGGAACTTGGGTATATTTGCTTAGGTAATACAGTGGGTTTTACTCAAAAAGGAATTTTAAGGGGCGCCTGGGTGGCGCAGTCGGTTAAGTGTCCGACTTCAGCCAGGTCACGATCTCGTGCTCCGTGAGTTCGAGCCCCGCGTCGGGCTCTGGGCTGATGGCTCAGAGCCTGGAGCCTGCTTCCCATTCTGTGTCTCCCTCTCTCTCTGCCCCTTCCCCGTTCATGCTCTGTCTCTCTCTGTCCCCAAAATAAATAAATGTTTTTAAAAAAAAAAAAAGGAATTTTAAGTGATTAGGGCTTTTACAATTTAATTTATAGAAGTCATATATGGAGTTTTGGATACACTTTGTATTTTAGAATTAAATGATGATGGATTAGCAATGTGGGTTGAAGCCCTGTGTGCTATCAGCACAGAGCCCACTTGGGGTTCTCTCTTTCCCTCTCTATCTGCCCCTCCCCTGCTCACACACTCGTGCACTCTCAAGAGTAAATAAATACATTAAAAAAAATTTTTTTTAATGTATAATTTCAATTGTGCTTCAACATGAACTCGAACAATGGAAAAGGATATGAAAATAAAATTGTAAATATTGTAAACATTTGTGTAGAAGGATAATAGAATATTGAACAGCATACTGTAGCTGAGCCTTTAAGCCAGCCTCATAAAGACGCACTTGTTTTTAGGTTCAAAGAGAAAGGAAGGAACTGAAATCAGAACGTGACCGGAACCTGCAAGAACTTCAGGACTCCATCCGAAGGGCCAGAGAAGATTGTGTTCACCAAGTAGAACTAGAAAGGTTAAAGATCAAGCAGCTAGAAGAGGACAAACATCGACTGAAGCAGCAGGTGGGATCAAATAGTTGCCATCACTTAGAGTTTATTTGTTTTGTAGGAAGAGTTCACTGAAAAGTTAGAGAAATTCACAGTGGTTTGAACTATTGATGATGTTGATTGCACCAAGATGCCGATATACTTTAAGCTGGCTCTTGTTTTCCTAAATCAAAGCTAAAGACTACCTTGGAATAATTTTCCTTCCCTTGTCACTATTTGCACAAGATTGAACTATATTTCAGGTAACTCAGCATCTTTCTTTCTGATAAATCGCCTTTTGGCCAACATCTTGTGCATGTGTCACTGGACCAAATTCAGTTAAGAACACCGGTTCGTGAGTGCATCTGCACTCCTCACCTTACTCTCACCTTTCGGCCCTTCCCACCCCACACCCCATCCCCTTGGCTCCAGCCCCTTGTCAGTGAAGCCACCAGTGGCTCATCACTTAGACTCCCCCTCTTAATCAGACAGCTCCAACACTGTTGGACTTCTGTTGTGTATTCTCTTCTTTCCCCTTCTTTAACCCCACTCTCCTGGTCTTCCTCTACTTTCTGGCCACCTCTCAGGCTCCTTTTCCTAACCCTCCAGTATTGGACTTCCTCCAGGCCCAGGACTTACTTTGTACTAAACAATTGTGTTGCTGCCCATGGCTTCAGAGAGTCCCCTTTCTAAGTATGTCCCAGACTGACTGTCTCTTTGATCATTCTATCAGTGAAAGGTGATGAAGATAAGTGTCTGTATTTCAAATTATAAAAGCAGTTTCCAGAACTCAAACAATCTGTGTCACTTATGGACATTTAGCAAAAGAAAAAGCCCAGTGTGCCGCATAGCTTACTTCTGCACAACCTGATTTTAGGCACAGTAATTGTTTATGATAATGTCTCTGGGACACCTGGGTGGCTCAGTCGGTTAAGATCCAACTTCAGCTCGGGTCATGATCTCATGGTTCATGGGTTCAAGCCCTGCTTCGGGCTCTGTGTTGCCAGCTCAGAGCCTTGAGCCTGCTTTGGATTCTTTGTCTTCCTCTCACTCTGTCCTCCCCTGCTCACACTATGTCTCTCTCTGTCTCAAAAATAATAATAATAATAAAATAAAAATGTATGGTAATGTTTCTGAATGGTAGAAAAAATACCAAATTTTAAGTCTGTTAGTTTTTGTTTAAAACAGAAATAAATGAGAGAGAGAGATGCTTGAGAAAGGTTTTTTTCCAAATTGAAAAGTCAAAGTTTGGATATTCAAAGAAGTAAACTTCAGCCATAGGAAGACTTTGCAGGTAATAGAGTACCTCATTACCTGAAGATGCTAGATAAACTAAAACCTAATTAGAATTATTTGTGCTTACTGGCATGAAACAAGAATTGATTATTGATAATTTAAATTCCATTTTTGCCACCAATTTTCTCAGCATTTCAAATTTAGTTAAGTCTTATGTCTTAGAAAGTAGATAAATGGGTTTATCTAATGATTGCTAGAGGGTTATGGAAGGCATCTTTAACAGTCCTTGTTTGCATTTGATTAAAAAAAAAAATCCCAGATTTGAAAAGAACATTCTTATATTCTGTTTGGTTTTTTGTTTTGTGTTGGTAGTTTTGAAAGTGTTCTAAGGGAAATTATATATAGAGTGTTGAGTCCAGGTAAGTCTCTGTTTTATTTAATTTTAAAAAGTATTGCCTGCTTTCATCAGAGCATTATTCTAGGGGATGAATAGATCTGAGAGCTGTTCATGTCTCTGCCGCTGACTTAGATCCTGGGCACTGCCGAGCTGAGCGTCTGAAACCCTCAAATGTCTTATCCACAGAAATGAAGGGGTTGAGTTAAATCATCTTGAAATGACTTTATAAGAACAATAAATACCGCGCTAAAATTAAGTTTTTTATTTTTATCGTCATTAGCTGGTATATCTAATGTGCATAGTATTCTCATACACGTGACATCTTAAGGGTATAGTGTAAGTATTTTTATAAAGTGACTTTCATTTGCCATGTAAAATTGAGCAAAAATGTTCTCATGATCCTGGTTTTCTAACACATTTCCCACTCTTAAATAAAAGTTTTTGTATATTGTTAATTAGTTGACTCACTAAATTTTTAAGATTACTAGAAATCTTAATTTTCCTCATTATGCTTTATGGATTTTCTAAATTTTCTACTATAAACAAGCTTTACAATAAGAAAAAAAATGACTGTTGAATTCTGTAGCATTGAACTTTGCATACTGGTCTTTTTAAATGGCTGTCATCCTTTTTTTTTTTTTTTTTTTTTTAATACAGCTTAATGATGCTGAAAATAAGTATAAGACTTTGGAAAAAGAGTTCCATCAGTTCAAGGATCAGCAAAGCAACAAACCAGAAATCCGCCTTCAGTCTGAAATAAATCTACTCACCTTGGAAAAGGTACCCGTGTCAGTTTATGGCAATTTAATTCTGATAATTTATAAAATCAGTAGGTGCTATTTGAATATAAAATGTACTGACATTTCACTGTAGTATTCTGATATCAAATAAGAACAGCATTTGAGACACATGACATTGTCAGTACTTGAATTTCTTGGCTTCTATCAGTTACAGCATATACTAATTAGAGTGGTTGGTTGCATAAAACAGAAGTGACTAACTGTAGAAATAAAGGAATCCACAGAACTCTCAGGAAGGCTAAAGAACAACTTCCAAAATATGTACAAGAACAGGGGGAAGCACAGTATGGCCTATCCTGTCCCAAAACTGTCTCCTCTTGCTATTGTTGGTGCTTTCACTGCCTTATCACCTGATTTCCATATTCAACAGCCAGTCTTGCCATCATGAATGCTGACTGCATATTACTTACTACCCTGTAGATTCCGTGCCCCAGGTAGGAGCATTCGTATCAATCACAAGACTACGCTCTCCTCTGAGCCCAGAGAAGGGATATCCATCCTATTTTGTTTCTTGCGGTTGGAGGCCAGGTCCTGCCTCTAGTTATATAGTGATCCTCTGCAAACGGGAAGAATATTCTGCTTCTAGGCATTAAAAACTGTGTACTGTCCAAAATGTGTAATGTTAAGTTTGACAGTATGTGCTGTTGCATTTTATCGTTTAGTATTTTTTAGGTATTATTAAAAAGATACAGCCTACCCAAGAAATCACACAGGTAATAAGAGAATAATTTTCAGAAGTTACAGGATTTCATGGTGTCAGCCATGGCCTGTCATTGTCCACTGAACATTCTATTGAAGGCTTCCTTGCCTCTTTTCCGCTGCAGATGTAGCCACTAGGGGGCACTATCAGAAGATCGGTAGGGGGTGTCAGGAAGTTGCCAGGGTAGTTCGTTCTTCTCTTTGTCTGTGTGCTTCCCTTCTCTCTTAGTAGGTGCACCTTTTTATGGTTTCCTCTCTGGCTAGACACCTTCTCTCCAGCTTGCCTTGGGCTGTCCCTACTGCATGAACAATCCGTGTTTCTGCGTTCCTAGTAGGAAGAACTGTTACCCATGGTACTTGCTTTTGTAGTCCCTCCTACCCCGGAGACGTAGGGCCTGGCTGCTCCTGCTTATCACTGGTTGCCTCATCCTATCCTCTCTAGCATTTGTGCTTTCCTGTTACCTGTATAACCAGTTTCCTGGCAGGATGCTAAATGACAGAACTGGTTTTTCATTATCCAGCGAAGATGCATCCTCCTGGGCACTGTGCTAAATGCTGTGCTGAATGATTTAAAAACCTTCAAGAGAGAGTCAAATAAATGACGAGTCCTACAAAGAGGCAGGGAACTTACCCAGATAATTAAAGTGAAAGGCAGGTAATAGCTTACCATACTATCTAACTCTCTCTTACTAAATGCCATGAACTCAAAGGGGAGGCAAAGCTACTTCTGAAATCAACACATGAGGTAAACTAAGAAGGGAGACTAGATATAGAATCTAAAGGGCACATTAATAAGTGAATGTGTGTGGGAGAGTATTCCAAGAAGTATTCAAGAGAACTAGAGGGGTTAGAAAGCCTATTGCATATTCGGGTAATAGCTTGACTAGAACTTGGGAGTTTAACTATTGTGGTAGTTGTTCGAAAATAACAGGGCTGATAAGAGAATGCTAGAAATTAAGATAATTTGTGACCATATGTGGGGAAGACCTTAGATGCGAAGTTAAGGAATTTGTATTATCTGGTAAGAAAAGGCAGAGATTACTCTCAAGTGTATTACATTGGCTTAATGGATGTTAATAGGAGTGAAGAATTTTCAGGAAGAACTTTTTGAGGAGGTTGAAAGTTGTAGAGAATTATGGTTCTAGGCAGGTTCCATCTGAGATTCTAGCAGAAAAAGTTGAAGGGGAGCAGTTCACCGAGGGGTTGAAAATGGGTATGGGACGCCTGGCTGCTTCAGTCGGTTAAGTGGCTGACTCTTTCGATTTCACCTCAGGTCATGATCCCACAGTTCATTAGTTTGAGCCCTGCGTCAGGCTCTGTGCTGACAGCTCGGAGCTTCTTGGGATTCTCTTCCGGACTCTCTCTTTCCCTCTCTCTCTCAAAATTAAATACATAGTTTTTTAACAAATAGGCAAGTATAGTAGGAAGAGAGAAAAGGAGGTAGAGATAAAGATTTGGAATCACTGGAATAAACTAACCGCCTTGGATTTAGATGAAATGGTCTAAGGTGTCTTTAGGAAGGACACCCAGACAAGTTGGTGGGAACTACGGCCTCAGGTACAAAAATCAAGAGTCAGAGAAGGAGGTTAAAAAGATCCAGAGACATAGTGAAGACAGTCTAGTGCAGTGCTAAGAGGAGGGATTTGGAGAATAAGGAAATAGAAGTCATCTCTTATGACAGCCAAGTCAAGAATGGTTGAAGAAGGGCCTTATGTTTTGCAGGTAAGAGATTTTGAAGAAGCAAAACTGCAGAGGGTTATAAAAGTTTGGCATTGAAAAAAAACCATGAAAATATGTAACCCGGGGGCTTCATGTTATTAAAACCTTATATGGTAGGTGGAAAATCTACGAACATATACATATACAGAGATATTTTTTGAGTGAGCCAGAGAGGGGCAGAGGTAGCAGGCCCAAGGCCGAGCCCCATGTGGGGCTTGATCCCACCACCCTGGGATCACGACCTCTAGTCAAAGAGTTGGACTCTCACCTGACTGAGCCTCCCAGGTGCCCCTGAATATTTTTAGATTGAGGATAAGCAATTAATAGCAAGAAGAAATTGAGCTTTGAGAGAGGAGGGGATGAGTGGACCAAAGAAGAGTCAGTCTTAGGAAGTAGAAACGCTATTTAAGAGGCAGAAAGGGTGAATAATATGTAGAAAAGCTGGCGACAAGAAAGGGTGTGGTAAAATAAGTTTTTGAGGGGTTGAAGCAGGTATTAACCAGTTTGTTCTGCTTCTGAACTCACTGACTTGCTGCAGCCTGTCCATTGCCACGCTATCTCTGGTTCCTCTTCTTACCCCTACGTGCACTTAACTGCCAAGCCTTGTTGATTCTGCTTCTTACATACCTGGAAAATCTTTTCGTTTCTCCATTTGATTCTTGGGCCTTTTGAATTTCTCTATCAGTGAACTTGAATCCAGTTGGACATTTTTAACCCCTCTTAAAAAAAAAGGGGGTGCCCGGGTGGCTCAGTTGGCTGAGCATCCGACTTCGGCTCAGGTCATGATCTCACAGTTCGTGAGTTCGAGCCCCGCGTCAGGCTCTGTGCTGACAGCTCGGAGCCTGGAGCCTGCTTCCGATTCTGTGTCTCCCTCTCTCTCTGCCCCTCCCCTGCTCATGCTCTGTCTCTCTCTCTGTCAAAAATAAAAAAATTTAAAAAAAATTTATTTTACCTATTTGGAGAGAGAGAGGCTCTCCCAAGCAGTCTCTGCAGTGTCAGCACCAAGCCCAACGTGGGGCTCAAACCCACGAACCTCGAGACTGTGACCTGAGCCGAAGTCGAGTCGGTCGCCCAACTGGCTGAGCCACCCAGGTGCCCCATAACCCCTCTTTTGATTAAAAACAAGTATTCCACTATTTCCCTGTTTACAACTGTGAATTCTGTGGTACCTACCAAAGATAGCTAAAGTGCACAGACACTAAGCGTCAAAGAGTGTTTTTATTTTACCTTCAGAGACCACATATCTCACAATTAGAACCTTATCTTTTGTGAATAGAAAGTTGGTAACTAGCTGCCATAGAAAGACATTTTACATGATTTCTTTAAATCCCGTTTTCCAACTATACTTCTACTAAAAGGATAAAAATCCCTCAACGTATCAAAAATGTAAACAGTGCCATGAACTTGTGAAGGGCAAGGGGAAAAAAATGAATAATTAAACTGCCTCTGTTTGAGACCCAAGGAACTCATCCAGCATGTTTAAGTGTTGAGTAAAACACAGCTTCTCAGCTCTGGTGAAAATTCTTGGTAAATTTTGTTTGGAGCCAGAAGAGGGCAGAATCTTATTTCTTATTGCTAAGTAATAACAAAGACATAAATGCACAAAAAGAAAGACATAAGTGAAAAAGTATCTTATTCATTGTATAACTTCTGGTTATGTGAAATAGAGAGCATGTGCTGATTACCTATTCTCTTCAGTTTAACAGAAATACTTCAATTTTCACTAAAATGGTGTAAAATAAGATACAGTTTTACCAGATGTAATTCTTCATTCCTTTTATTAAAAAGTCAAGAATAGTTTATGATTTGCTTTTAACTAGGAGTGTCTCTTAGATGGCTTAAAAATAATTAGGTTTTTAAATAAATGAAATATGGAAAACATTAATATAGTAGGGCAGACTGAAGTTGAAGATAAATGCCAAAATGTATGTATTTATGATGATTTGGTAGCTACCATGCGTCCACCCCTGTCTTAAGGCAAAGGGAAAGATGAGAGAAAAAAGAGGAGAAAAAGTACATGATCCTTCCGGGACCTCACTTTTAAAGAGTTTGTAATAAAATTGGAGAGATGCCTCAAGGAGCCTGAAGTGACTGTGTGTGATCAAGTACCAGGGAATGTGATAGAAACTCTTTGCAGTTGAGAAAATAGTAGTTTTAAGTAAGCAGAGAAGAAAGTGACAGGCGTAGGAAGTTAATTGGGTGATGGGGGGTGAACCAGGACACCAACCTACGGGCTGGAGTAGAGGGTTTTTTGTTGAGGAACACCAAGGAAATAGGTGCAGCAAGTAGGACAGAAGTTCGATTCTGGAACACCTTAAAACAGGCAGAGGAGTGTAGGTTCAAGCCTGCAGGCAAGTAGCAGCGGCATCTTTGAGAGTAAATTGACCTGACAGTGGTTTGCGGGATTTGGAGACAGAAAAGTGTGGAGGCTGAGGAGACTGGAGAAGATATGAACGTGGCCTAAGGAAAGGGCAGGAGCAACATGGAAGAATAAAACTGCCAAGTTCTGCCAGGGAGAAGTCTCTGTAGTTCCTTGTGACAGTGGGGAATAGGGCATCAGAGACAAAGACCGTGCCATCCACTGAGCAGAGAATGAGACTTGTGGGCCTAGAAACAGGGAGGCAGAGAACGAGTGAACACGGGTTTGTGCTTTCTGCGTGCACTGGCCTCTGAATGGACTCTGGGTCCTGAGGTGAATTTTCACATGAGAAATCTGTAACTTGGTTCATGAGGTAAGTGAAAAGCTTGCCCAAGCCTTAGATCTACTCAAGAGGAGAGGTTTCAACTCAAGGTCTTTGAATGCCCTGGAGTTCTCTCAAATCTTTAGTCGCGTGCATGTTTCTGGGAACTGGGTCCCCTGTGTTTCCTTAGAATCACAGAGGCACTTGTATTCTTAAAAAAAAAAAAAAAAAAAGAAGAAAGGTTAGGAATCACTGATTAGGTCATAGGAATGCATTAGAAAAGTGGGGTTTGAATCTGAAATTTGCAAACTACGTGTTTTTTTTAATTTAACTGTGAATATGCAAATGTGATTTTGATAATCCTGGCAAAACTGATAAAACCTATCCAGCCTTTTCTATTGAGTCAGTCCATGGGATATACTTGATCCCTCTGGGGTTATCCCTTCCTAACCCTCATCCTTGGGCCAGTCTAGGCTACCAGATCTCCTCCAAGACCCAGGGACATGATCACTTTTATAATTAAATACTACCCTTTTATCCCAGCAATATAAAACGATTTTTGCTGTTCCTCTGACTTATGCCCTACTGTTAAATTACCAAGTAATATGTATAAATCTTTGGGGCACAAGTAGAAGAGGTCACCTTTGATAATCTCAGAGTATTTATTCAACTTAAGACATGGAAGTCTAGTTGTGAAATGTCAACACCTTTAAATTCAAGCACCAGGGATTTATAAAGCAGAAAAGACCGTGACTCCATGAGTTCATATATTACTGCAGAGAATATTCTGGTCTTTTGTGAAGGGAATTTGGCAATCTGCTTTTCCTTTCCTTGTGTTTTCATACACGTTTTCTGAAGTTTGAATTTTGGGACTGTGCCTTTGGTTTGATGTTCCTGCAAAACATGAAGAGTTGTGTGTATGGGAAAAACTAGACTTGATATAAAAAACTTAGACCAGTTTAGAGTCACAGTATTGTGCTGTAATTCAGACAGATTATTACATTATCACTTAAATAGTAAAACTGTCTGTTGGCTTCATGAATTTGTTTGGTATTTGGTTTGAAACACTGAGAACGTACATTCCAGAACATCGCCAAGTTGGCTTCGGTTCATGCACAACAGATTGCCTGCTGCAAGTATAAATAACCATTTTTTTAATGGAATCACTTTCATGTTTTTCTTTATATGTTTGAGGAAAAATAGAAAATCAAAGTTAGTGTTATGAGGAGCATTATTTTTCCTACTCTCAGGTTTATTTTAACATTCTTAAAATATTTTCCCCTTTGTCCTCTTTCTCAGTAAACTGCTTTCTGATAAAAGATCTCCCTGCTCTCAGCACTCTCCGAGTTTTGCGGCAATAGAGTTATAAGAGTATCTCTACTAGCTCTCGGGGTTGTAAGACCAGGTTCCATCTCACGATAGGCCCCCAGAAGGAAGAACTAGGTTTCTGAGATGTCGAGTGCCAGCTAAATTGGAATGCTAACAGTAAGGACTGCTTTTTGTAAAAAATGAATGTTTTGCACTCTATACACGTTTTAATACATTTATAGTAACTGTCTGGAGGTTAAGACTGATTCCGTTCCTTTCAGTATAGGCTGTTAGGCAGTAAAAATACGACTATATTTTAAACAAGAAAATGTTCATGTGCCATAATATTTATAGTAAATTATATAACAGTTTTAGATGATGTCGTATGTTACACTGTATAAACTCTTTTCTTAAGCCAGACTCTTTGTATATATTATCTTTCAGTGATTGTACACAGTGGTATAGTGTTTCACTTGATACGATTTTAATCACTGTTAGGTTGAACTTGAAAGGAAGTTGGAATCTGCAACTAAGTCTAAACTACATTACAAGCAGCAGTGGGGACGAGCTTTGAAAGAACTTGCCAGACTTAAACAGGTATGTAGTTTATAGCTGATGATGGATTCTTCTTTTTATGTCTTTTTCCCCTTGATTCTTTAAAAGTATGCCTGTTTGGCAATAGCTATTACGTTCATATGTGGACATTTGGATCTGCAGGGCTATTTTCGAGATTATTAAAAGATTGTTTTCTTAATAAAAAAAATTAACTCTTAGGTCCTTTTTTTTTTTTTTTTTTTTTTTTCAAATTGGCAACTGTTGTCCTCCCCAGAAGAAATTAGGAATGATTTCTTTCACTTTCACTTATAAAACAGCCATTTTTTTTTGTCTTAGTAATAATTTCTTCCCATTGAAAGTAACTTTCAGAAGAGAAATTTCAGAATAACTGAAAAAATTTAACATGTCCTCCAGCTGAACAGCTGATTTCAAATGTTAGTCCTAGAAGACCTAGTCATTTATTCAGTTAAGAAAAGGAATCACAATTTTTGCACAATTTTACAAGAATTTAAAAGTGATAGTGGTTTCCTGAATTCTTCTTAGACTTCTTTTTTCTTCTTCTTCCTACTACTAAATAACAAATGCCATAAGCCTCAGGAGAAATTAATCTTATTTTGGAGTGAAATTTGCTCAAATGATTAAGATCACTTAAATGTGAGCAAGGTTTTTCTTTAGAATCTAATCTACTTGACCTAACCCTTCAAACTTTTGCCTTTCTTTAATCAGTTTATTCGGAGTGCAATTGGGCACATAGGTTTTTCATAATTGTATTTTCTTCTCTGTCTCCATGACCAGCAAATGCTATTAAACATCTCTGTGGTATTGTACTAAACACCTACTGCTCTCAAAGAGAGGTATGTACAAGACCTCAGGAGAATAAACAGTACAGTTTGCCTTCATGTAGCTTGTTGAAGAGTTGAGATTGTAAGCATAACAGAATATTACACGAAGTGAAAGTATTTTATAAATGTTCACAGGATCAAGGACAGATGCGTGTACTGAGGGCCTCCTGTATTCACAGTACTGCCCTAGATTTGTTGGTGTATGTAAAACTTAAGTCTTTCCCTCAGAGAGCTTGCAATTTATTAAGAGGGAAGAAAATTATAAATGTAACATTTATATTTAAGAGTGAGAGCCGTGACAAGAACCATCCTGAGGAGGCAGGAGGGGAGAGTACATCTATTTAATAGCACTTAAGTAGGACACTGTGGAAGAGGAGTATTTGAGATAGACCTCTGGTGAGCTGGTTGTGATTTAAGAAAGCAGGGAGGGAAATGCTATAAATGTAACCAACAAAATGAGTATAGCAAACATGCAGGAAGGTGGAAAGCAGAGACTCTACTTGGACAAGAGAGGAGGGTCAATTTTAGAGGTAGTTTCAGGTAACCAGGACTGGAACTTAAGTGGGAACGTGACACACAGATTTCTGGGGAAGAAACCCCCAAAACATGGTTTTGGTAGATTGATATAGCCCCGTTTTTACCTGATTGTAATGCAAAGTAGAAAGTCGAAGATGATGCCGAAGGCTGAAGCCTCAGTGTCTGCAAAGCAAGTTTTCCAGTATGGAAATAACGGTAGTAATACAAGGAGGAGAAAGGACTTGCAAATGTGGACATCTTGACTTTCGCCAAAAGAAATTCAGCAAGCATTCAGAAATATGCAGCTGGTATTGGGAGGATGATCGGGCTCCTTGCAGATGTGAGAATGTAAGCTGTGGTAGATAAAACTGAGCATTCTTAGGTTTGCAGAGGAGGCCCGAGAGCTGATGATGGAACCAATGGGCGGAGAGCAAGAGGGCGGTCATGATTTCAGGCCCCTCACACCTTGACATTTCATCCTAACCAAGATCGCAGTAGAGCTGGTAACTGAATTTCGATTTTCTAGATGAAAGAAACGGAGACTTAGGGAAGTTAAGGAAGGTGCACCAGATCGCACAGGTCACGAGTGAGAGAGCAAGGATTAGAGCCACTGGACTGGGGTCCCGGCTGTTTCCCCTTTATGCTGGTATCAGGTTATTCCATGGAAGCCAAATAATGAAAGGATTTCGAGGAGAAGAAAGTGAGCCCTGGAAGGTTTTAGGGATTTCTGACACAGTATCCAGGCACAAGTCATGGTTTGGCACACCCCAGCAAGGAAAATGGCATCAGTGGCTGTTAGACCAGCTCTCATAATGAGAATTGAAGTGACCTCGAGCGAGAAGAAGCTCCAGTCAGGATGCCAAAGTACGGAGAGGAGATGGGGAAGAAGCAGAAAATGGTGCCTGCCATTAAAGAAGTTACACAGTGAAGGCTCCGAGACTAAGGGAATGAATCATGGGGCATTACCAGAACCAGTAATGAAAAGGTGGAAAAGTGTGAGCGTTGAGGAGGGCATTTCCTTTGGAGAGAGGAGTCATCGTTAATGACTGAAATGTCTCCTTCCTGTACCCTTTTGTTACCTTCTGAATCTTCCCATTTCATCGATTCTTTTACATTTACCCCCTTTTGTCCTATGTATTTTCTACCCCCTTGCCTAAAAAGCATGGGCAGATAATTTTGCTGTTTGTTTCTAGTAGGAGAGGCTATCACGAAAGTCAGATGCTTCCCCGTGAGTTACTTTATGTATTAAGAAAACGGCGTTAAATTTAGAATTCAACTCTAAACTATTTCTTCAAGAAAAGAGCCTCATTCTTTGAGTGCAGTAATCTTCCTCGAGACTAATTCTGTTCCTTATCCCACTAACTTTCTGCTTTGGAAACAACACTGTAAACAACCTTTAGGTCACTAGGAATCACTGATGTTCCACAGACGACATTGGAGGTTTGGTACTTGAAGAGCAAATATAAGCCTTTGCCATGACCATCCCAAATTGTGCTCTGCCACTAACTGTTCTTATAGGGTTAAAATTAATAGCTTCGTCAAATAGGCACAATTCATATGTGTGAAAGTACCATATTTTTCTAGAACTTTTTATTAAAAACACATTTATTGTGTTTGAATATAAAATTGGAATCCTCTATCTGCTTTTGTTCAGAGGATTGTTTGTGCAACTTCTTGTTTAAATTGGATTAGTACCATGTTAATTTTACATTGCCTCTGGTGAATAGCCACGGGGCTATAATCTCTGCCAGTAATTTGTCACAGCAAAATCCTCTGGAGGGCCATACAAAACATTTGTGTAGTACGGATTAGATGGGGAAAGCCATATCTTAGATTGTTAATAAATGTTAATGACAAAACCCAGCTGGTAAAGCTTGGAAATAAGATCTAATGCTGGGTGCCTATTGCCAAAAGAATGTTTAAACAGATTTCCATTACTCAAAGGTGACCCAGTACAGTCAATTTGTGAATTAAAAAACAAAACAAAACAAAACATACTCTTCTAATGATTTAGGGGAAAAAAAATCGTCTAATTCCCAAAAGTCTGTGTTTCCAAGCTGTAAATTTGTTGTTGTTGTTCTTTGCTAACTTGGGGAAGTAACAGCTGTAAAAAACAAACAAACAAACAAACAAACATAAATGGGTCCTAACTTAGAAAACAAGGAAGTGATACCCAGACATTCTGGATTTGATATCTTTGGTACAATGTGTGGCAGAGATCTGAAAGAATTCTGATGGTGAGACATCTAAGGGGAAATTTAGTTGTTTCCGCCCCACCCCCAGTCTCCATGAAGATACACTACAGAAATATTTTTAAACCAAAGGTTTCATTGTTTGACAAACACTCAAGATTGTCACTTTAATTTTTTTTCTAAAAAATGTTTGTTTAAAAATATTTCTCATCACCTTAGAAAACAATTGTGTAGGTTGAATAAAAGCTACTCCTTTTGAAAAATAAATCATTAAGAGGTATGAATTTGTTCGTGTAGAAAACTTAACATTTTCATTATGTGAGATAAATTGAAACTAGGTCTGCTTGTTCCCAAGACAGGAAACAGAACTAAGATTTTGGGTAGGATGTGGGTCCCTTACCATATTTGTGCACAGTAGATCTGTTTAAAACTAAGCTCTGATATATTTAGTTAAAACAACACAGGCTTCATTGGCTGACATCAGCACTATCTTGTCCAGTCTCCTGCTTATCCACTCAGGGTAATTAATTTGATTAATTTATAAGTAATTTAGCCAAGGATGGGATGTAAATCTTTGTTTAAGAAAACAGTTGGAGGTCCAAGTCTTGGTTAAAAACTGTGTCTTGAAACCATCCAGGCCCTCCTACTGACTTGTCAGCTCTGGGTTATTTTCAGAAAACTTGACTTGAGTTCCTTAGTTTAGTTGTAAGTTTTTCCCACAGACTTACATGGTATGTGTGAGCGGGAGAGTAAGTAGTGGCCACTTTTTAGCCGCTGTTTAGTCTAGTGTATGCATGTTTACATCTCCTCTCTGGATTTATAGGCAGCTCAGGCAAAATAAAGATTATACTCACTTGATTGAGGAGTCTTTAACCCAGAGCACCTGGCAGCAGAGAGGATTTCTTTCTGTAACCTCTAATTTTTGTGTGTGCGTGTGTGATCAGTATTAATGCCATATATGTGATGAAAAATTCAAGGCATTTAAAGGCTTGTCTTCTGTGTTTTAGAACTAGGATGTTTCAAGTCTTATAAAATTACAATTTTACAAAGTAACCTGACTTAACCTAATTGGCTTTTATTATTTTTTTCTGCTTATAATTATGCTTGCTTATTGTAAACAAAGACAAACTTTGCAGCACCGCATAACACAGAAAATAAAAATCACCAGCCAGAGGTAACAACTGGGTCTGTTTTTACCGAGCTTTCTTTTCCTTTCTTTCTTAATAGTTGCTTTTTAAAAGAAATAGATCCTAACAGTCCAAAGAGGCAAAGAAAAAGAAGATGGTTATGCACCCTACCCGCCCCCCGCCCCCCCACTTCTATTTTAAGAACCAGAGCACATTATCAGTGTTCTGGAAGCCTTCTGTGCCTTTGCTCAACTGCATCCTCTCCAGAGGTAACTACTTGCCTAAATTTGGTATTTATTCTCCCTTTGCTTTTCTTTACGTTTGTGTGGTTTTAAACTTTATGTAGATGGACTCATTGCCTTTGA